ATTCATATGCAAATGACTAATCTGCGAAATAAACAGAGGCAGAGACAAATCACTCAAATGTTTGGAAACACTCATTGTGTGTCAGATAGCTACTGATAACACATCCTTACATTGCTTTGTCTTGAGTTTATCTTTGAAACTTATAGGCACACAGATTAAACCTGTGTTGTTGATTTTGGAAAACACTACTGAAGCTGTCTTGCTTTCCTTCAGAAAATCTACATTTTAACCAACTTGCATGACATTCCAGGCTATGTTGACTTTATCAGATGAAAGTTTATAGTGCATTTCATCAATTAATAAATAAATGTGAAAATAGTAATTTTCAACACAAATAATAGTCTCGCTACCTTAAGTTGGACAGTTGGTTCTCCAACTATCGAGGGAGCTAGTATAAGTTGTAAATTTAGTTAAGTTGGAAAGTTGAATTTCTTTTTTGAATTATATTCTCAGACAACCATTGATAAATACATAAATTATTAATACTTTATTAACACATATTGTATCTTGTATAAATAGTATAAATATCAAAGTCACACAGATGGTGGGAAGTCTACCCCACCTTAGAGACCACAACAGTTAAAGGAAAGACACAACAGGTACTAGAGTACTTTAACATTTGAACAAAATATTGATACAATTATCACTAAAACCCATTAATAATCGAAAACATAGTTGAACTCTGGTTACTTTGCTTTTGCTAAATAATATTATTCCCTTTATCATAGTTTGTTTTAATATAAACATGCATTGTCATAATTAATTTTGAATACAAACAAGTTTTGGGGTTGAACCAACAGTGGGGAATCAGTCTACCGAATGTTCTTGATAGATGTAAATATCTTGCAAAAACATTAGTGCCTAATTTGTTTAATCATTATCAGGGACATAATTTCCAGCTTTATTCAAAATAATTCAGATATTTTAGTATAAAAACAAATGCCTCATCACAGAAAAAAAGTGCTGCATTTAGACGTGAATAGATTCATAAAACATGCAAGTTCATAGTTTTTCTAAATTTCAGATTTTATTGTTCATAATTATTTACAGTAATAATACTTACTAATAGGCATACAAGCACCTGTATATATTTTGACAATAAACCCCTCATTCACATTGTGCAAATACAAACAAGACATTAAACCTTCTTGATAGTAACAAGTAAGTGTTGTATAAACCCAACAATGCATATTCCCACTGAGATCAGTGACCTTTGATGCGTATCACCAGTGATCAGTTTTTGCATGATATTTTCATACAGGACATCTGTTGTTCAAACTCAGGGAAGACATTATACTGATGCATAAGGTGACCAAGTTTGGTGAAGTTTGGAATAGAATTAATAAAGTTATTGTGCACACAATAACAATTATTAACGACAACGACGACGACGACAATGCCGGATCCATCTTTGATGGTACGGTACGGCAAGGTAAAAATGATCCTGCAATGACAAATGTTTTAACCCACAAAATATTGTAGAAGAACATTTAATCAAAAACCCTTTTTGAAAAAAAAAACCACCATGACTTTTCTTTGCCTATTTTCTGTATTTTTTCACTTATTTTTGAATAAATAACATTAACTATTGGCTACACATATTGATTAAAATTTAAAAAAAATTATTTGGTTTTTATTTTGTGACTGATGACTGTCACTCAAATGGTTAAAAATCAGTGGTTGGCACACCAGTGGTTGGCATACGCATGGGAAAATCAATGTTTATCAACACAAATTTCTGGAGCGACAACCACCCCCTTTAAAGATGCATTCTGAGATCATTCTTACATTATTTCGTGTTTTGATGGCCAGTTTCAAGCATTTCCATATTCATTTATCTTCACACCCCCAATTATTTCATACAAATGCCGCAAGATCTCTGAGAGCATCTTTTCGAAAAAAAAAAAAATTTCAAAAAATTCTGTCTTCAACAATCAATAGTGAAAACTTAATAGCAATGAAAACGTTTTACAGTAAACATCAAATAGTAGAATGGATGCACAATACCAACTGATGTAGCAATTACCACGAACACATGGTTCCATAATAGCTTTTAAAACAAATACTGTACTATTTCAGCTGGAATTAATTTTTGCTAAAACGACTTTTTTGGGTATTTTGTACGGAACTTATTTTCACTAGTTTTTTACTATATGAATGTAAAAACTAATCAAATCTGCGCATAAGTTCAGAGCATCTCTATACCAAGTTTCAGCAAAATTCAATAAGTGGTTCTTTAGATATTATGGAACAGTCATTGAACAGCTAAAAATGAGCTAATTATCATGCAAATTAGTTAATTTCTATGCATGGATTTCTACCAAAACCTAATAAAATCTGCGCATTAGCCCAGAGCATCTATGCACCAAGTTTCATCAAAAACCGATGTATGGTTCTTGAGATATCAGTGGAACAGACGGACACACACATACACACACACACACACACATACATACAGAGTAACTGCAAAAACTCCCATTGTGTGCTTCACACACGGGAGTCAAAAATGAGTTATATTTGCTGGATTTTATTTTCACTAAATCGTCCTTTCAGCAAAAATTGTGAAAACACGTCATTGTCAATGACACGTCCCCGTTCCGTTCATATTTGAGTGACATATACATTCAAAGCAGCAACAATATGGATGTTGAACTGCATTCAGTAAAACAAAATAGCCACCAGTCAGCCATTTTCAACACAATCCAAAAAAAAATTTAAACTAAATTTGCCCACGCATGACTAAGATTCAGTTCCGGTATGGTGAAATGTGCAATTTTTCTGAATTTTTGACCTTAAAAGGATACCCCAGATTAAAAGGACTGGCCCAAATGCACAGGCATATGTATATGTATGATATAATGTATGATGTGTATGTGAAGTTTGAACTTGATCTGTCCAGGCATGTCCGAGATATGGATCGAAAACTAAATTCTTTAAAACAAAATGGCCGCCAGTTGGCCATTTTGAACTTGATCCAAAGAAAGATTGGTATGCATCAAGCTTATATTATGTTTAATATATGCACTAAATCTTAACAAAATCCATCCATGCATGACTGAGATCCGGTTCCGGAATTGTGAAAATACGCGATTTTGATACATTTTCGGCCTTAAAATGGCCATCATTCAGCTATTGTTAAGCGGGTCATGAAACAAATGCACATACATATTTGTGACATGATGTACCTTGTGTGTGTGAAGTTTGAACTCGATCAATCCAGACATGTCTCAGATACGGATCCAGAACTGAATTCTTTAAAACAAAATGGCCGCCAGTCGGCCATTTCAAGTCCGATCCCAAAAAAAAAATAACATGCATCAAGGTCCTATTATGTTTAATGTATGTACCAAATTTGAACAAAATCCGTCCATGCATAACTGAGATCCGGGTCCGGAATGGTGAAAATGTGCGATTTTGATGCATTTTCGGCCTTAAAATGGCCGCTATTCGGCTATCGTTAATCGGATCATGAAAAAAATGCATGTGCATATGTCCCATATAATGTGTGATGTATGAGTGAAGTTTGAACTTAATCGATCCACGCATGTTTGAGATACAGGTGATCACGGACGCACACAGGGCAAAACATAAGTCCCCGTTTTCGGACTACGTCCGAACGGGGACTAATTAATTCCAAGCAAAATTAAAGTATTTTACAGATCTTATTTTTAAAATGCCACAACTTTTATTGCAGGTATCCATGAAAGATGAAATACAATTTTGACCACAAATAATAAAAAAAAATACCAGTATCTGCCAATAAATATTACTTTACATTTATTGTCACCAAATTAAAAAAGTTATCACAAGGCAATGTCAAAAATAAAAGCAATCCAACTGTTTTTCAAGAATGTGACAATAGAAATTTTGATTAAAAAATCAATTATCACCAAATTAACAAATATTGTAGCATTCTTAACTGATAAAATATTCACAGATGCAAATATTAATTAACAAACAATCTGGAAGGCAGTATTCAAGAAATATTGTCACAGAAAGTAAACAATCGTTTGTTAAATAACAAATAAAACATCATGAAATTAGACCAAACCTGAAGGAAAACCGACTCGGGTTCTGCATAGAATATATGGAAGCAATCTGGCATGTGGTTTAGGAGAATAATTCAAAATTATTGGTTTTGATCCAAAATTTGATAAAAGTAAAAAAAATTGAAATGTTGTCATGAAGACAAAGACAGTTAGAAGAACTTATAGATTTGACAGTTGCTCTAGAACAAAAAATAAGTCACACAATTTGAAGTAACTGTAGTCAAAATATATGCTATACTGAAAGCCTAAAAACCATTATGTGCGGTAATTATCTGCATTTTAGTTTTAATTGCCCCAATAGTTCTCCTAAATTAAGTGCGAAGACACCAATATAAACATGCTTTAATGGACTCTAATTTAACTGAGGAAAAACCAAAATAAAAATAAAGTGCAAGTGAAAATAACAATTTATAAATACAAAATAAATTCAATTTTAAAGAATCCTGCAGATTTCTCCTCTTATTTATTGAAATCAGCTCCACACACAGATTATTGTAAAACCATTCATTTTCAATGACATTTAAGTTGACTATTTCGATGTTTTGAGCATATTCACTATGTTTTAATTTCATGAATTTGTCATGGAAACAATTAGTTTTATTGTTATTTTGTACATGTTCATGTAGATTTAATTTAGCGGATTTTACTTCTCAGGGAATTAAAACCCAATGAATAATTAATGCATTTACAGTATACAACTTAAAATATAGTATTATGGTATGTTATACAGAATAAATGAGCATGTATAATGGATAACCAATATATAATTTTGCAAAAGACACATTTTTGTAATTTTGTGAAGTGTGTGAAAATTTCATAATATTTCATTGACAATCTTAGCGACATTTGTGAAAATTAATTCTCATCTTTGTCAATCCCAGGATCAATCCCCTTACAAAATGAAAACACTTTTAGCAATGAAAATTAATAACGTATTTTTCCCCCCAAAAAACCCAGATACATTCAAGTACCATACCATATACAGGGTATGCAAATTAAAGGTCATAGGTCATGTGCAGCATCTAAAGAAGGTGAGAGTAATATTAAAGACATGTAAACCAAAATTTTTACTCACGGTTTTAGAGTTTATAAAGTGAAAAGAGAATCAAACGGCCATGTTGCTAATGTCGGCTTCTGATTCAGATTGTTTTGCTCTGAATAAACAAGGATTCAAACTTACAGATTCAAATGATAACTGTACAATTTCGAGCATGCACAAAGTTGATTTCTTGTAATGAATCAAAGTTTTTTTTCATATTGAAACATTCATTCATAATCATGCTAGTATACTCTCAGTTCACATCTTTATGTGTGTTTTTGTTTATTTTCATATTAAATATTTGGCAGAATAGTAATGGAAATGATTGTGTGGTTGATAGCAGTTTTATATTGACTGTATTACCAGCCATGGAAACTATTTTAAAACATGTTTATCAAACACGTGCTGATTTCTAAACAATGCAATACAGTGACCCCTCGCTAAGTCATGCCTCAGTTAGGCATGACATTGGCTAAGTAGTGGGTAATTGGATGGTTCACGAAAAATTGTATTGTCTTGAAAGAAAATAGTTAAGGATTTGTTGCTCCAAGTTTTTAATTAGTCATGAGACAGTCGGTACAAGTCATATTCAAAGCATGTTGATGTCATTCAACACCCATTGACCTGTCAATTACTTGTCGACGGCTTGGTTCAAGGGAGTTTCTCGGGTGATACTGGTTTGATAAATCCCTCATGAAACTCACTGCAATGTGAATAATCCATCATTCTGATCTCTAGTTTCCAACTGAGCAGCATGTCTAAGCGAAAGTTATCCAGTCTGTCTGTCCTTGATAAGTCAGATTTTTTGCTTGGATCCCTAAACCTGTGACTTAGCAAGGGGTTACTGTACAGTCTAGTGTTCATAGTAAACAAATGTGTATTGCAAGACAGATGTAACACATCAGGTGACTACCCTTTCATGCCTATTCTCACATCTTGCAAGGTGATTTTTTACCATGCTCGGAACGATGATGATGATGATGTCTATGACTTTTGACGTCAACATCAGATGCACTTGGTTCAGGCATTGTCTCATTAAGCTGCCAATTGTAATCCTTGTAACTTATCCTCACTCCGCCTTCAAGTACCAACAGATCAATTAAATTTTCAATTCCATAAACTTTATCTTCGCATAAATATTTTAAAGTCCACCTGTAAAAAAACACACAGAATTTAATGCAATTACTGTGGAATACTTTATTTTCGCTGGAATTAATTTTCGCTGAAAAGGCTTTTTGGGCGTTCTTTATGGAATTTATTTTTATAGATATTTGATGAGTTGAATGTGAAATATAGGGAAAAAAAGTATATTCGCTGGATTTTATTTTCACGGAATCATCCCTTCAGCAAAAATAGCAAAAATAAATTCCAAGTGAAAATAAAGTAATTCTACAATATTTAAAATTTCATGTGGTATACAATGCCAAAACTTCACGTTGGTGATCTGAGAGTATAAAATATTTAAATTGAGAGCGATTGAATAAACAAATATGCCAGAAATATTCACAAAAAAAAACTTTAAAAATGCTGAATTAAAAAGGAAAGTGAACACTGCAACATTTGAACTGTTGTGTGAACATTCTTTTGTTGTTCTGAACATGGCGCTAAATATTATACACAATGTACCATATTTGTTTTATTTGCCCAATAGAAGTGAATGTAAACAAAAAGTTGTCATCAATACAATTTTTTTTTTACCTAACAGCTTGGATTTCATCAGCACCAAAGTCAGTCCTATACCACTGAAAAATGCGTGACAATTCAATCTGTGAAAAAAATTAACACACGATAATCAGAAGGTTTTACGGGCTTAGACTAGATCGACAGTGGAGCTAAAAATTTGCAGAATGATTTGATGGATAAGATTTTTAAAGAAGCTCTTAAATTTTTTTGAAGGTGAAACAGGTACTGAAATAGTGTTAGCAGCTGTCATGACGATATTTAACATACTTTATCTATTTGAGCAATAAACCCAGAAGTTGTTTTTACAGTGATAAAACTCCTTTCTCATTTGTGGCCATGAAACATGGCAAGAAAGGGAAACATTACATTTCTCACAATGAATAATCACTAT